CCACGTGGGAGGCAGGGAAAGTGCAAAATTTGAACTTTCAGTTAACTGTTGGCCAGTGAAAAGGGTGCCTGTCTGCTTCCTCACTCCTCCCAGCGTTTAGAGAGTGGATTGGGAGACAGTCTTCGGACTGCCTGGTACTGTACTGCCTGGACTGTATTTTCCCTGCCTTCCCTGAACCTTTCTTGACCTAAGAAAAAAAGAAACAAAATATCCCCCTCTAGTGGTCGAAGGCAGAATAGCAGCTTCCCATTAGTTTCTATGGACGGAAAAGAGCAGATACGGATCAAATGGTTTTCAATGCATTCCTATGGGAAATGCAGATTTGACCTGAGAACGTTTTGACTTGAGAACCGCCTTCCAATACGGATTAAGTTCTCAAGTCAAGACCCCACTGTATCTGTTTGTTCTCTTCTCTTTCAGAGGGGGTAGGTTACTCACAGCTTCACTGCCCAATATGTCTCCCATATCTGATCTGTGCTTGGGTGATCTCTTCAGAGGGAAGAAATACCAGGTTGCTGCCTAGATTCGTTCCCCTCTGTTGGTCACCAACTGCTTCAGGGAGACTTTTCCTAGTCTCCCCTTTGCTCCTTCATCTTCTGAAGGACCGCCAAACCAGGCGTTCCCAGCTTTCCCCGGGAGCTTCTCTAGGAACTGCTGGCAGCACCATGACAAGCCCCCGAAATTCCTGGAAGATTTGGATTATGCCAGATATTTCCAGATCATCTGTGTTCAGATTGAAACATTTTCCCCTCCTCATTTCATAGATACTCATAGATACCCTATGTCTCATCAGCTGCACTAGATGCCAGTTTGTTTCCAAGGACGGTTTGGGGTGCTGGTGATCACCTGTAAACTTCTAAAACTTAAGACCTTGCTACCTGAAGGATGAACTCCACCCATACCAAACTGGCTTGTGATGGGAAAAATGGGACAACCCCCTGTAAAAATTGGGAGAGAGGTGAGGCAACACAGACCTTAGTCCATGTGGTGTCCCTGCTCTCATGTACTTTAAGTACATCTGCAGCTACACCATCAGTGGCAATGCATCAAAGAGCTTTCTTGGCTTGATACCTCCTGGCCGTAAGAGGTGATGTCCTCTCCTTTACTTTTGAACACATGGTGTGCTATGAGAGTGCTGAATTTTGACAAATTGCAGCAAGAGAGTAAGGTTTATGAATGAATTAGCACTTGGCCTTCTGGTTAAGATCAAGCATTCTCTACTACTAATTAATCTGTTTCTTTACTTGCATTCTGTTGGCAAATGTAGAAAAAAATTATTTTGAACAAAGTAGGGCTACTGAGCACTGGTGTGCATGTATAGGCTGTTGCTTTTAAAACACAGCTTTAGTATGTTAGTTTTTTGGACTAGCAATATGTGAATTCATCTGTCAACATGGTCACTGGTGGAGGACTAAACTAGCTGGAATTGCTGTGTCTCAATCTCTCAGAGTTGCAAGTCCCAAATAACAAATGTTCCCAATCTCTGCTCTTACATTGTTGACACTGTGTTCTACTTATTGTTTTTATATTCTATCTGTTTCTTTGAACAAAGGGGAATATTTTTCCACAAATAAACAGCTTGTCTCCTGATGGACAAGCAGATTTAATTGTTTCACACCATATGACAATAGTGTAATAATTGAACCACATTTGCATTTATTACTGCAAGAAAATTTATATGACTCTAGACCAGTGTTTCCCAACCTTGGGTACCCTGATGTTCTTGGCCTACAACTCCCAGAAATCCTGGCCATTATAGCTAGCGGTGAAGGCTTCTAGGAGTTTTAGTCCAAGAAATAGGTTAGGAACCACTGCTCAAGACTAGGGCTATGAGTAGCCAACCGGACACCTGCAGTTTCCTTCTTTACAGCACATTGATGTGGCAAAGACATCTCACAAAAACAGGTGTCTTTGCCACATGGTGGCTTTCAATTTGTATCTGACTGACTAATACATAATATGCACTTAGACAGACAGGGCTTCTGAAGCATATATGGACCTGGCATGACATTGAGGATGCTACTTCTAGCCTTTAGAAGAACCCATGGATGTGGTGGGGTGGGGTCTGATGGGGAATGTGTCATGACAAGAACAGGGCCCCTTAATACACAAAGCCCTTTGCTTTGTAAGACCCAAGAGTAAAATGCCCCAATGTCACCCCCTCTGGTTAGCATTGATGATATGCTATGAGCATTATAAACACAAACATACATCTCATTTTTTATTACAATTAACTGTTTATTTTTCTTCAAGAAAACAGCCTTGGAGTTTAAGTGCTCATCTTTAGCCTCTGACAATGAAAGCAGCAGATACAACCTTAGGGGCGTTCGTATCCATTACACAATACCATCCAGATGGCAGGAGTATGTAATTATTCAACTCTTAAAAAAAATCTCTGGTTTATAAAAGTGGGATATTGTGCTTCTGTACCCATGATACAAAAACACAGGAAATATCCAATATTGCTGCACAATATTGCATACACATTGCTGGCAGGAAAAAGGATGCCAAGCTTTACATAGCAAAGGGCAGCCTAAATGATGGCAACACCAATGGCAGCAGTCAAGATCTCTTCTGCTCGTTACCATTCACAAAGTGATACTAAAGGGAAAATCCCAGAAATTGACTCATTTTTTCATTAGTTAACCACTTTTCTGCCAAAGACAAAACAATTGTCAGGGTTATTTTTCAACAAGTGTAAATTGATTCACTGTTTCTTCTCTCATGTTAGCGGTTAATCAATATAACAAAAATAGGACGGTTATTCACCGATGTTGCAAATGGTTGCTTTGCAAACTGAATACCTTATGGAATTGAAAGGAAAAATGAACTGAAACAGCTCTGTCAGTGTGTCTCAATATTTTAGCAAAGTGCAGCAAAGCAAAACATGGGAGCACTTTCAGGATTAGCAATTTTATTTCAGCATGAACATTTGTGGGCAAAGTCTACTTCCTTGGGCACATGACCAATATGCCTATACATATCCATATGACCAGGTGAGGATATAGATAGTAAAGGGGCAATGAGTCATTAAAAGGGCTCAACAGAGATCAAGGCTTTTTAGTGCACTACCGGAGGCTATGGACCCAAGTTGGCAGAACCAAAGTTAACCTAAGATAAGGGGGATTCTGGTGGTACAGAGTAGTATTCTATGCCCCTCAAAATGTATTATGGAAGATTCCATGTTAGCTTCCCCATATGCTTTTGATGTTGACTCATTGGACAAAAATTACCTGATCCATTTATTAATTGTCCTGTGCTGCTTCTGACATCACCAGTAGTGGTTTTTGATGCTCCCATTGTCCCAAGGTTCTTAAAGGCTACCCCAGGTCAAAAGGGAGCCCTAGGGAGGCTCAGAGCTTGAGGGGATAGATAGGAAGCCTTGAACTTGGTTAAATTTACAATTTCCAGCACTTAGATCCAGTTTACGCTGGTATAAGTACATCAATAGGATTTTGCCCAATAATTAGACCACTGATTGTTTGAACAAGGTCCCTCACACAGAGGTAGAGCCCCCTACTTTGTATGAAAGAGCTTGCAAGTCCAACCCCCAGCATCTCCATATGTGGCTTGGCCAGTCTCCTATATGAAAATAAGGAAGGCCTCTGACAGTCAGTATGCACAGTCCTAAATTGGATAAATCAGCACTCAGACTTACTGAGGCAACTTCATCCATTATGTTTCCGGAGACTTTTGTCAAAATGCGGGAGGCAGGGTGGTAGCCATCTTAGTTTGTGCATCAAAAATGAGAAAGTATCTTGTGATACTATACAACTGATGAAGGGGGTGGCAATCTATGAAAGCTTATGCCAAATAACATTTGCAGTCTCTTAAGGTGTCACAAGACTCCTTGTTGATTGTGTGAAACTTGTGATTTTCCAGTAACAAAGACAAAAATATTGCCAGCACACATTCCTTTCAACAATGCATTATTTACCCATTTTAACATACTGTACTGCTTAGTTTCTACTGTCATGGTGATTTACCAACTATAGCCATTCAACTATACACCTTAAGCATACTTTCTACCTAACCCACAATGGCAACTGAACACCGCAAGCTTTAATATATTTTACCAGCAGCTGCTCTTATGTATCTCCCACTCACTAATAACCAGCACTGTCAAGGTTTGTCTTCTACAAGCTGAAGATATACTCATTACTCAAAATGATATGGAAGCAACACTCAAGACATGACAAAGTAAATTGTGTTTCATCATATCTTTTTTTTCTTCTTCCTGCGGCCGAAGGAACACATAGATCGATACTCTATGTGTATAAGAACTCTACACAGAAATTTCCATTTGTTCCAAACAACCAACACAAAGACCTTAAGCATACCCTGTCACTTTCAGTTTAGGAAGAAATGCACTAATAAACTCTTACCCCTGGGTCATCTTTGACAATGGGCAATACTATGCCAGCTCTTATTAAAGGCAATTCATATCAGTGGCCCAAAAATTTCCTTTAAAATTACCATCTTTTGTATCTGTGTAGCAGGATGTCAGCTTTAAAGTGCCAGTGAGATACAGAACCTGTCACTATAGTTAATTTTCAGCACAGTTTTAACACCAGGGTAGCTCATCCCCCAGGGTTATGTTTCTGACTAACGAGGTTTACTTGGTAGCTATCCAAACAAACAAGAAGACATTACTACCACATATTGCTTTTCAAATGTAACAGTAAGCAAGTATTCAGCCTTTAAACTGATACCACTAAGATTTCAGAGAAAAAAATCAGAATAGTTGAATATCCAGAACATGAAGTGAAAACACTCTACTACTTTTAAAAATGTCTGGGAGGTTCTCACATGTTGCTTCATTTTGATGCAGAACTCAATACGACTTCATGTATTTCTTCACGCTATACGATGGAACACTGTACCAGAACTACAATCAAGATTCCATCTTACACCAGTCAAGGAAAGATTTACCTCTAACGATGAGTTGAGCAAAGTTGGAGACTCCAGATCCTCTCTCAGACTGAGTAACACAACGGTATAAATCTTGGTCTGTTTTTGTCACTTCCTGAAGTTTAAAGGTAGCAGCAAATCGCCTATGGTTTATGTTCTTTGTCTGGGCCACTGGAATATCTTCTCCATTCCGTCTCTAAAAACAATGAAAACCAACACAAAAAGTCTGGTGATTAATATGTTGTATTTTCTATCCACATTGTTCACACGAGCACTCTGGGAAGTAATCAAAATCACAGGTAATTTCGCGAACATGTATTGAACCTCACAATGTCTTCTATAAGAATTTCCACATGTTAATTTATCAATGTATTTTTTAAAACATGTCTTTTCTGAAGGAGACTATTGTAGCAATGTTTATTTGCTTAGCTTCTTTCTAACTTACCTACTAGGAAGTTTTAGTTGTTTGTTTAAATGACCATTCTTGGCCCACTGTCTCAACCAGAAGGGTGTCATTCTAAAATTTTGGGGTGTGTTTTTCTGCACTGAGTATTTGTAAAACTCTGTTGCAAATACAGTGGACCATCGACTTACAGACGGCTCGACTTACAGACTTTTCGAGTTACAGACTTCTCTGGCTGCAAAATTTAGATTCGACTTGCAGCCGGATAATCGACCTACAGACCAGAAAAAAACCAAAATGGAACAAAAATGGAACAAAAACAGCCAGTTACGGGATTAATTGGTTTTCAACGCATTGTAGGTCAATGGAGACTCAATGCAGCCACTGATCAATATGGATTAATTCCGTAAGTAGAGGGTCCACTGAAACAAATAATATGTCTTTTTCAACTTAAAAGTTGTCTGTAAACACCCCAGTGTCATATCCTAATTCAGGCATTACTTACCCTGCTTTTGCCTATCCCTTCCCTCTTCGCCTTCATCGTCCAAGTGTCATTTCTGCATAGAAAAGGTTTCCGTTCTTATGAGAAAACTAACAGTTTCCCAGAATTCTTGCGAACATGGAAAAACCTAAAAGAACAGGAGTGGGCTAGGTGTTCCTCTACTGGCATGGTGAGTGAAAGAAGAGCTAGGATGGTCTGAATGGGGCTTATATGTGGACAGTTCCCCTGATAAAAACAAGAAATTCTCAGATGTGCTACCATATTATTAATTTCCATTAAACAGGTCAAGACCCTCCCTTAATACCAAGCAATCTCCTTCAGAGCTGTCAGTAATAAGCACTTTAATAAAAGTCATGAAAATTATTTCTTTTGTCTTGCTGACAGATTTCAACAGTTCATAACGATTCCTTTGAAAGCCATTCCATCATGTTGATCAACAGAAGTGTTGTTGGAATTTTTTTTGTAATACAATTTTATACTGTGAAAACCAATTTAATTTCCTTTTATCCTACGTACTCCACAGGCAGCACACACTAAGGAACATAAATACTGGTGTAAGTAGAGAGTAAAGGCTGACGTAGCAAATCTAGAAAATGGGGTCCAAGCAAGAAGAAATGAAATGAAGAAAGGAAAAGGGAACTTAACAGTCACTTGATCAAGTGGCTGGGGGATACATAGATGTTACCATCATTTGTAGTTCAGTGTGTTTCCAAGCTTGATGTTTGATTTTAGAAGAATTTCTCAGTTTACTCTTATGATCTGTTTAGTTTTGTGTGAAATTTTAATTTTATTGTGTTTATGGTTTTTATCACGTTGATCACTCATTAAGTGGAGGTACAACAAATACTTTTAAAACAGTTAAAACACATTCAAAACACTGGAGCTACTAGCCAGGACTGTTGTCCCCTGGGAAGCCATCCCAGAATTAGAAGTGGAGAAAAAGAGTGCACAAATTGGCTGCTAGCTCCTGAGAGACACAAAAGGAACTCGTGCAGGGCCTCAGAGGAACGAGGAATTCTGCTGATGGAGCAGGACATTATCTGGTGCCTGCAGGGTGTATCCTCTATCCTTAGTATGTATTACCGATCTTTGGGGAGTATAAATACCTGTGTATTGCATGCATCAGAATTTCTGTTTATTATGCACTATTACCTAGATGTGTAGGGTTTCTGTGCTTAACTATTTCAGATATGCACCTTGTTCCTTTGTATGTATAATATATGAACTTTGCTCTATAAAAAATATACAAGATTCTTCGCATGTACTAACTACTTTTGTATACTTGGAAATAGTTTTGTATTTTGTACAATTTTGTGTTTATTTTCACATTTAGCCACACAGCTGTATAGTTCTATATGAAGTGTGTGCTTGATGGTATAAAGGTGACTTATCCCTGTTCTTCCCCTATTCATTCCTCCCTCCGACCTTTTTATTAGGTCCATTATTCACTGATACTGCACTTCCATTTCTCTGTCCTACCTTCTCCACAAACTTGAAGTCTCCACTTGTGCCTTGTCCCAAGTGGATAATGTACAGTACCAATTATAGTGTGAAAACTGTGGTTGTCCAAGCACATCCCCAGGATAGAACCAGCTCTTAGCAGCACACATCTGACCCTGGAATGTGTTTCCCTGAGGAACACTCTGAGCAGCATATAGTACTGTATCTTGTTTGTGAATGAGTACGGTATCCTTACTAGGTTGTAGAAGTTGGACTGCTCTCTTCTACGCGTCTCAGTGTTGCTGTTGCCTATTTGCTTTGTTGTTTTACTTTATATAGCAGCTTCTATTTTCCAATTTCTGTTATTTTACTTTAGGAAGTAATAAAAACACGCTTTCTTTTCACAATGCTCATGTCTATGCACCAGTACATTTAAAAAACAAACTAATAGGTAACTTCCAAAAGGAATGGGGGACTTTTGATTCAGAGGAGAAAGTTATGTTTGTTGTAATGCATGTGTAATTGATTTTTTTCTATTTATTTATTTATTTATTTTGGCTAACAACATTAAAAGATAATACAAAAAATATACGTATAAAGACAATTTTACATACCAGAAATACTGAACAGAATGGGAAAGCTGAAGGAGGGGGGGAATTTATTAAGTCATTATACAATTATCTGAGTACAGCCAGTACGTTCCATGGAAAACCAACAGCCACCACAATCATAAACCAGAGGTGCAAACTGTCAAGAGGCAGGAGAAAGAAATCATAACACACTATGAATGGTCAACAAGGCATCCTGCAGCCTTGTAATCAGTGAAGAACCCGGCAGCAAAATTCTCTAAGATGTTATGCAGTATCCCAACATTTCCAGCAGCCTGGCACCCCCGAGTGAACCTACAGAGCTCAAAGACATACACATAAAGGCTATACAGAGTGAAGCTTATGTGACTTTTGGCAACTGTCTGCTGCAGGACCTTGTTAACTGAGGCAGAATTAAATTCAAACCAGGAGGAATGTATCATTTGCCTACGTTATAAGGTAAAACAAGAAGGAGCTACAGACTAAGGGGCCAGAGGAAATGATCACATTTCTCTGAAAAGGAAAAGCTCTGCTCAAACCTACATGTCAGAGAAAGCTTCAAAAGATGGAATGCAAAGTGACAAGAGGGATTTCAGAGACAAATACACAGGCTGGAGTTCCAGGGAAAATCTCAAGTGAAACAGTATGAAAAAGAAAACTGAAGCATCACTATACAGCAGTGCCTCCAGAACATTATTTTAAGACGTCACAGGCCACCAAGAAATTTTAAATCATATATAAGAGCACAATCCCTCTTTATATTTATATATATATATATAAATATTTTCAGTAACATAGTTGTGGATGCCAGACTTGTGCTAAATTAATGGAACTAATGTCAATGAAGCACATTCAGCTAAAATAGACAGTGGTAATTGTGCATCGTTCAGCTGCAATACCGTGGACACAAATGACCACTGTTACTGGTAACTGGGCATGCACGTTGTGTTTGCTTTGCATTTCCCATTCTTCAATTGTCTTATTCAGTGCTTATACAGGTGAAAATATAAGCACCTTGGACACCATCTTGTATGAGTAAGAATTCTGCCAAAACAACCAAAGACTATATAGGATTTCATAATTTGCAACAACGTGTATATGAAAACACCGCATGGGGGTCTAGAACATGTCTATCATGCTGGAAGTCCAACAAATAAATAACAACCAGCACCGTATCTTGCCATGCAGATCACCTTAAAGAGAATATCTATGAAATACATTATTCTGCTAAATCCATGAAGTGTCATTATATGAAAGGAGAATTATTGAGTGAGTGTACGGCCTTTCAACTGCTTAATTCAAAAGGGGTGAAATTCTTAGAATGCAGTCTTAAACGCAATCACAAGTGAGCCTCACTGAACACAATGGTCTAAATTCAACTGTCAGTCTCAAGGAAATATACGCATAAATATATCCAATTTATTCAAAAGGTTTACTCTATCTGACAGCCTGGATTCAGGCTAGTGGGATTCACTTCTAAATAAGCATACACAAAATTGTGTTATATTAGTTTGAAAAAACTGGGTCTTCAATTTCTAAGTCAAAAACCACAGCTGCATGCCAGATAGCTCAGTGGTTTAGATATCTGGCTGTGGGGAGTTCCACTATGAAGTCTTGACAAGGGCTGGACTCAATGATCCATAGGGTCCCTCCCTCCCTCCCTCCCTCCCTCCCTACCTACCTACCTACCTATACCAGGCACAGTCAATTATAAAAACAGTGACTGGCATTATATAACAGAGACAAGTTTTAACCAAAAACCTAAATATCTGTTAAATATCGACGTAGTATATATGCTATTCCTAATATTGCAAGTTATTTTGTAGCTCTGATATTAATTTCTGAAATCTGCAACTACTTATAATACTGTGTGATATTTCTTGATATTGTTTCCAATGCACCAATGATGATGGGGACCACTGAGGTATGTTTCATCCACAAGTGAGATATTTGTTGTTGCAGCTGTTGCTGTTACTGCATCGGTAGAGTCACCACTGTTCCGCATTGCTTAGACTGTCATTTCTAAGGGAAAAGAAAAAAAAAAAGAAAAAGATGGGCAAGGAAACAGACAAGGTGACAAGGAGGAGAAGGGAAGCAGAGGAAAGAGATGGAGGAGAAAGGACGCATGACTGATCTATATCACTAAGCAGTTGGAAGAAGGTTTTCCCATTTCATAAACTGTATTCGAGGTCAGTCCTCAGTCTGAGAATGTTGGAGCTTGCTGGCATAAAAGAGCAAATAAATTCTATGAGTGTGGCTCTTCC